GTCGTTCACATAACAAAATTTTCAACCAAAGTAAATTCAAATAGAGCAGGAAACTTTTCCAACACATCCTCAATAAAAATTACAATAGGGACACCCTTAACATTAGTATTCATAAAGGAAAAAAGAAAGAAATGAGGAAGAGCTCATACCGACAACCAATCTTTGAAAGAATATAAGTTAGAGAAAATACTAGAACCAGAAAAAAAAATAGGCCTTGATTTTTAACTGTGGAGGATGGTTTGGTTGAGCCCCATGGATTGGAAGGAGATAGCTCCATTCGATTGAGAGCAAGGCTGGGGCAGAAAGAAAAACTAGAAGAATTGAAACCAGGGAGCGAGAACTACAAAAAATTCATGAATTTTTGGCGTTCCGGACCGGCGGTTATGTAGCCTCTGGTACTAACGGTGGTTTAACCCGCGGTTAGACCGCCAGTGTTTATCGATGGTTTAACTGACGATTATTTAATTGACCTCTGTCGGAATTAGCGGTGGTCAAATAACCACCGGTTAGTATGCCGGCATTAGTTCTTACCATTGGTTTAAACCGCCAGTGTTAAGTGATTTTTTATGGCGGACAGAACTACCAAAACGCCGATAAAAAAAGCCCTAAAATTAGCCATCTCCAGCCTTCCATTTCATTTGCTTGCATCGTCCTCTCTCTCCCTTCTGAAAGTAGCCGCCGTCTTCTCCGCCCTCTGGCGATTGAGACACTCCCTCCGACCGCCGACAAGCTTCCTCTGGCCGAATATCTGGTCCCCGCTCTGGCATCAAAGCAAGGTCGAAGATCTCGCCCCCACTCCTGCATGAAACTGGTATCCGAGTCCCATAGGTTTGAGTTTTTTTTTAATTAATCATTTATTCTTTCATATTCACAGGTTAGGATTTTGTGAATATATGGAAGGGCAATGGGTATTTTGCTCCTATGCTAGCAATGGTAGTGCAATGGGTATATGGAAGGGAAATGGTAGGCACCTTCTGTATCAATGATACTCCTAATCATTTGTTCTTTCAAATATGGGTATTTTGCTCCTATGATTTGTTCTTTCATAATCAAAGGTTGGGTCAATGGTAGGCACCTTCTCACTTTCTTCTTAATCCTCATCCGTCCTCTCTTGAGATGGCCAATATAAAAAAGCTCTGTGGAAGATTGGTAATGCATCTACTTCTACTCTAATCTTATTTATTCTTTAATATTATTTAGCTACTCTCCACCTTATTTAACTATTTCTTACTCTAAAATGAAAATAAAATTCATTTCATCTCTTCATAAGCAAACTATCCTAGTGATACTATATGTACAATTACATTGTATTGGACTAATTAAGGCACTTTTCCCTACTATATATGCCTCATAGTGCAACATGTCTCTTTTTGGTCCTCATCATATCATCTCATATGACATCCTATCTCACAGGTACCTAAAAAAGTACATCCTAAGCTGTTACCATGAGAATCATTTTAACGAAGACAACATTGTGCTTCTCATGGTTAAGAAGGATGCCATCTTTAAAGAAGCACTACCTAAGATTTCATAAATCATTTTTGTTAATTCACTTCATTCAATTAGTTTTCAATGTCTATGTTCCTGAGACTCTTACCCCCATCAAAGTACCTTTCAAATAGCATGCTACTTCTTGTCATTCTCGTGAACTAAGCATCATTTATAAATACTTAAAGATTCAAACCAGTCACTAAAGTAAACTCTGCAATCCTAAAGGTCATGTTTTTTCCACCAATATTGAATATGATTAGGGCATGATCAAACAATAGTTGACAATGACCGAACCTTCATGAATCTTAGTAACATTTTAAACCAACAATTTAGTATTATTTGAACCAACTTTGAAATGTCAAAGCCTTGCTTGAACTTATTTGAATCTTATTAGAACTATTGATGAAAATTTCTTTGACCCTTCTTCAAAGATAATATAAATTGGTGGTACAAAAGATTCATGGAACTAGTAGGACAACTTTTGGGTTAATGATTTAGGATTTTGGGTTAATTTCACAAAATTGCAAGAAATAAACATCCTACACAAGAAAGTCTAAAGCTAGTGTAACCAACAAAAAAAAATTTGTCATGACCTTTAAAAGATTTTAAAAAATAATTTAAATGTATTAGTTCCATTAAAAGCATCTTAGATATGGTAAAAGTGCACACCTCATCACCTAAAGGACAGAAGGAAAAAGCTAATAATTTTTTTTTTCAAATGCTACAGGTTTCCAGCGGCCAACCGGCGGTTTGTTCGCTGGAAACCTTGATACTGGTCGTCAGCCACTAGAAGTTCACTATAACCGCCGGTAGTTTCCGGCGGTTCTCCGACGATACGCACCGGTGGTTCTCCGGTGATATGCTGGCGGTGGCGCAGCTGGTAATTCCTTCTACTATGACCGACGGTATTCTGGCGGTTTGGCCGCCGAAAAAATCCAACCAAACTGGCGGTTAAACAGCTGGTATGCCGCCGGTAAATAACCGACGGTCATCAGTGTTATGACCGCCAGAAAACTACTGGCGGTATGGTCCGCCGGTAAACCGCCGGTGCTTAAAGCAGTCGGAAACATACCGCTGGAAACGATTTCCTACGCGGTTTTTACCGGCGACTTTTAAACCGCCGCAAAGCCGCTAGTTTTTTAAAAAACCGCTGGAAAGCTTATGATAACCGCCGGTACTAAGTGATTTTTCTGTAGTGGAGGATGACCACAAGGCACACAAAATAACTACTGATTCACTCTCCTCTCCTTCTCCACTTCTCATCTCTGCATTCTTCTCTTCCTTCCCTGGTAAGCCTAATAAGGAGGGAAGGAAATGGATGAGTAGAAAAAAAATTATATATATAATACAATTCAGTGCATAGCATCGTACTGCTTATGATCCACTGCCGCAACACTATATGCTCAATCCAGAGTTATTCTAAAACATACAGCTTAGCACCACCGTGTCAAATTCCAGCGCCCCAGCATTGCTCCCCATCAATTGAGAAATTTCAAAATTTTCAAATAAATCCATTTTAAGAACTTTGGGTTTTTATAGTTGGTTAGAGTGGTTCTAATCAATTTGTGTTAGATAGATTGTTTCATATATTTCTATCAAAAAAATAAAATGTTCTTTCTTGTTCATCTTTCTATAGCGATATAATTAGTTACTTTGATTTAACCTTTTTTTTTTTGTTAATGAAGTTCGGGAATGTGGTCAAATCTCATATCTAGTGATTGAATTTCTCTAGACTTTTTTTTATATATTTTATTAAATTGTCTTGTAATTCAGTAAGGTTTAAATATGCTTAATTAATTAGAAAATTTGCTAGGCCGTTATCCTCTAGGGGTGTCAATTTCGGGTCACGGGTCGGACTCGGAACTGACCCGGGTTCAAACGGATCGACCCTAACCCTGGCAGGGCTTCAAACGGGTTTCCGGGTTGACCCGGCAACCCGCCGGGTCAACCCGAACCCAACCAGTTTTTTAAACGGGTCGAATCCGGGAACCCGAACCCGACCCGTTTTAAAAACGGGTCGGGTCTAACACGAAAATTCTGGGTCGGATTTTCGTGTCGTGTCAAATCTTGACCCCTCTAATCCTCTATACATTCTCCATTTCATCCAACTTTTTTTGTTTTATTTTCCCTTTATTTTTAAGGTGAAAGCAGCTATTTTCTCAATTTTGATTACCATTTAGTATCAGATAACATTTACAGTTTGTACTAGACTGATATATTATTGAAAGCCCTATAATTATCTCAATTATGCTTCAAAGCAAAGTCTTAAGGGCACATGTTTAAAATCTTACTTATCATAATATCATAGATTTTCTATTGTTAAAAAATACTAATAATTAAATAAAAATACGAGAGTTTGGAAAGTCATATATAATTTTGAATCAATTTAGACTTCGTTTGAGACAGCTTTTTTTTTATTCTTAAAATAACTTTTTAAGATACAAATTAAAATTTTAGTATTAAAAAGCTGCTGCAAGAAGCAGTAAAAAGCCAGCCCAAGCGAGACCTTAGGCTTCGTTTGGAACGGTTTTTTTATTGCTTTCTAAAGCGGAGTTTTAGTACAATTTTTTTTTATTTTTGTACTAAAACTCCATTTTAGAAAGCAATAAAAAAGCTGTCCCAAACGAAGCCTTAGTCTTCATTTAGACAATTTTATTACCGTTTTGTTTTTCAAATCGCAACCATAATTTCAGTTGGGCTACTGCTTTTTGTCTACTACTTTATAAAAAATTGTACTAGAACTCTGTTTCTATAACAACTTTAAGAATTTACTCTCCCTACAACAGTTTTATAAAGAAGTAAAAAAATTATTTCAAACAAAATTTTAATTATAAATTTATTCATATTATATATGCAAATTTAAGAAAAAAAAAAAAATCCTCCCAACCAACATATCAATTCAGTTCTTTCAAAAGGCTATGCATACTTCCTTTGCAAAAATTGCTTAGGAGGTCCACACTTCCATAAAAAAATTGGACATGCAAAATGCATGGAAAATGATGCACGTACACGTAAAAATATGCATGTCTTCATCCCCTTCAGTATATTCCGTGCATTGTAATTGTAAAGATGAGGAATACTGTAATAAAGCAATTGTTTTTTTTCATGATGAGATAAAAATCTATAATCATAGGTCATGAACCACGTGGAGATATTTCAGTACATCTCCGGTGCTTGAAATATTTGATTCAAGATCCCTTAATTAGAAGAGAAAGGTCAATGAACTAACACAAACAGGCTCTTTTAGAAGAAAAATTATTAGGTCTGATCACTGGACCTAAAAATAAGTCCAGACTTCAAATTAAAACTTACTACGTGGACTGCGCTTTGACTGCACTTTGACTGTGTTTTACATACGCTTTGACTGTGTTTTACCTGCACTTCACCTGCGCTTTACCTGTGCTTTTGACGCGCTTGACTTAAAATTCCGCAGACACGTGTACATTCCACATGTAAATATTTTATTGGTGTTCGAACGTATCTCTACGTCACCGGACCTAATAATTTTCCCTTTTAGGGACCATTTCTCGACTTATGGCGTGTCACCCTTGTGTAGAGGCTATGCTAATCTTCTCTGTATCGTTCCAATTTTGTCTGATGTCTCCAAAGAGATAACATGCTCTTTTAGGGCATAATTAATACTAACACATAAAGATCTTAGTTTGTTTTTATTGTCGATTCTATGAATAAACTCAATATTAAACCATTCTTCAAAGACTTCATCTTATATATATATGTAGTGGAAAAAACATTTAAAAGATTGCTTCTATGTTGCCTCTGTGTAGGTTGTAATAGATAAAACTAATGGGCGGCAGTACTCGGCTACTCGCCAAAAATCGAAGTCATGTTGATTTTTAGTCAGCTAAAAATGGAGTCATTACAGGTCAAGTCATGTCACAACCTTTTTATTTGATCATCTTGATATAAAATATTAAAAAATTATTATTATTGCAATATATAAAGATTTATGTATGTATATTATTCATTAAATATTGAATATATTTATATTTAACACATGTCAATTTGAAGTCATTTCAAGCTAGCAATTTTGGATTTGTTTTTTGAGTTATACGTTAGGTTTCGTTTGGGACAATTTTTTTGGATGCTTTCTAAAACAACTTTTCAGTACAATTTTTTTTTTTTGAACTAGAAATTTTTGTACTTAAAAGCCGTTTTAGATAGTAGCAATAAAAATGTCCCAAATAAAATCTTAGAGTTGACTCGGACATTTTGGGTACGAGCCAGACTGAACTAAAAAAATTTGATATTCAAGTTAGCCATAGCTAACCAGATCACGGGAGCTCAACTGATCAATGACACCACTAATACAATATGTAGATGGACTTTGTCCAGCTTCAAAACATTGGATGCTGCGATGACTTGCTAGGTTGATAGATGGCAAAAGTTGCAAAGTGTGGAAAAGCAGAAAACAAGTCTTCTTTATTATGGTTCAATACTGGATGCCCTTCGCTTTCTCTTGCTACTATGTTATTTTGCCTCAATAGTTTCTCAGTACTTTTGCAGCTGTTGCTTTGTCCTCTATTGTTAGAATAAAATTTAGGGGGAAGCATCATCAAGTATGATGGCGAATTTGAACCTATCATTTCTAAATAAATCCAAAGGAAGAGCTTCAAATCAATCTTGTGCTACAGACTTTTCTTTTACATGGAGGGCCCATCTGCAAACTAACATATTCTATTTGACAATTGGCTGATTTTCTTACACAGCCTTTCTGTGTAAGGATTTGTCTGTGTTCTACACGAGGAGATAAGTATTAGTGTATTACCCAATGCACTGATTTCTATGGGATTCTTCTTTTCTGATGTTTGGTTTTGTATTCCCTTATGCTTCCTAATTAGTGTACCAGCAATAGCTTTAAGAGAAATTACTAGAAAATCAGACAAAATTATTGCCTGCGGTGCCTGGATGCGTCCAGAGGTTAATCTTGATATGCTACGTCACTCAATACACTGTGTATTTGGTGACAAGGAGCATCAGGATTGACCTCCGAATGCATTCGGACACCGCACAGAATAATCTCTCAAAAATCAGAGACAAGCTTACCATTTTATTCGAAAATTGAAGATCTATTGATTTTTTTCTTTGAGTTTTAATTAACTTGAAAATGATATTAACCCATTTGAGAGTGAATTATTTGGAATCAGTTTAAACCAACTTTATTCATATAAAAGTATCTCTATAAAGATTATTATTTATGTACGACATATATTGCAACAATGTCCTTGGCCACTTAGACAAAATTAGTTTTATGACTTAATGTACCAGTTGGTCCCCTCATTTCTTTCAATTATTCTCTCCAGATTCTTAATTTTTTTTTTTTTTGGACAATTAGGGGATTCGAACATCAGCTGCATGGGAGGAAAAGCTTCACTCAACCAGCGAGCTGCGCGCACTATCTCACCAAGTTCTTAAATTCTCGTGATTTTACTCTGCATAGATATATTGATAGAAATTACATGATTATTATATATATACGAACGAATTGTTATGAATTTTTGCTCCTCATCCTGGCCTGCACTTGAGTGAATTAATTTATTAATTCCTAATCAATCATAGTCAAAAGAGCTCATCTTTCCATTAAATTTTTTTTTTAAAAATAAACACTACAACAGTACAAATGTCCCACAAGTCTAAAAGGGGAAAAAATTGAAATAATTGAATTAGATAGCATCGTTATACTTCTATAGAAGCTAAGCTAGCTTGAGTGCTACTCTAACCTACCTAATTACCATAAAAAAATGTTACTCTCTATTTATGCTCATGAAAGTGTAAAACAAAGGGCCAAAGTAATGTTGATTACCCAAAAAATTGCCGGTAGGCTGCCACTAGCTAGATTCTACCTTTAGGAAACCTCTTTATTAACAAACAAACTCCTGACATCAAGCAACTGATTTGACTAGTTACTTACTTTAGTTAACAAACCTAAGCCATAGATTTATATATGAACTAGTTGCATCGAATTAACTAATGTTATCATGCATGTACCTATTCTAATTTCTCAAATTGCATGGCCTACTTATTTAATAGTGGGGGTAGCACTCAACTATTTTCAAAACACTAAATAAATAGTAGGTTTCTTTTCTTGTAGATCTCATTGTATGTTAGTGTTGTAAAGAAGGTCACATCAATTTGTTTTCTCTTCTTTATGATTGACTAAAATGGATTGTTGATAAATATAAAGTATTTGGGAATATATTTTATAAGCATATGATAGCATTGTATTAGATCATTTGCAGTAAATGTGATGTAAACTAGTTAACAAATCATTCATAAATTAGGCCAAAGATGAAGATAATATGATGTCAGCTAGGATAATGAAGTACTTGCTTGTAAATTGTCTTTGGCTGGTGTGGTGTATTCTGTCCATTTCTCTCTTTGGTTAAACTAAATAGTTGGAGACCAAAAACGTGCCCTTGTCTACTCTCCCAAAGAAACTTTAGACTTGATATGAAGGAGAAGGTCGCTTGTCCGATCTGCCATTTCACATCCACCAATCTTCATGCATATCGTAACTAACCAAAGTCATTTTGGGGGGCATCATCTCTATCAATAGAGATCACCATCCATCATCATGGATTCTCTCCAACATATGGACATAGACTTATTGTTTTTAATTTGTTAAGTCATCTAGTATACATAATGGAGAGTGACTTATGACATAAGTGAAATGGAATAGTCTAACGTGTTGTATATATCTACTAATTTGTAGCATTACATATTATATTGTTTGCTAGTGAATCTAGAATAAATAGTGATTAAAGTTGAGCTAATTAAACCATTTGTAAATTCATTTCAATCTAAAATTTAAGTCTATAGATAAGAGCCAATCATAAGATTTATTTAGTGCTATTAGGATATGAATTGTGATAATTTAGATAAGATCCTGAATTTGTCACATGACCAACATGCACGAAGCCTCAAATGACATTCCAGGGAGTAGAAAATAAAGAATGTAGAATATACTAAAAATTTCATTTGGAAAACTCGAAAAGGAAATTATCATGGGATCTGAACCATATGAAATAATCTATTATACTTGAAGTTATAAAAGTCCATACTTTCCTATAATTGGCAAAGATAGTAATAAAAAATTGGTAGAACTCCGAGAGAATTTAATTACAAACTCTCTCTTATATCTTAAACCTCAAATTTAAGACTTTATGATTAGAGCCAAAACACCTAACACCTAGAACAAAGTGGGATACATATAATACTATTTAGCTAGAAATTGGTACATGACTAATTGATCCATGAATAATGAAGGAAAAAAAAATTAAAAAAAATATTGATTTCAAAACATTGATACATAAGTGCATTTCAGATGAAGTGGTTTTTAAATTAATATTTATTTATTTTATTATTTATTGAAATGATAAGTGCCGAGGCATAACATACACATCAGACTTCGAATGCCTTGATTGAATTTGCAGAAAAAAAAATTAAAAAAAAAATTGACAACCAAACTGCATGCTTCTTTACAAATTTTCCATAAATGACTTTGTGCCAAAACTCTAAAAGGCTATGAAAGTAACAAGAAGAAGGATAGACAATTGATGTCTTATTGCGAACAGTTCCCATTAGATAAAATAACATATTCACATCATTCTTCCTTCGTCGGTCGTCTTCAGGTGGTTAGCCGAAAGCAAGTGAACTCAATTATAGAGACATACTGTTTCTGTCTGCATTTGCAACACTAGAGAGAGAAATGAGGAGTTTCAACTTGCAAGAGAAAAAAAAAATGGTTTTTCTGAGATATTTACTGTGGTAGAACAAAATTTCCACTCTTACTGTCATTTGAAAAGAAAGGTGTGGTTGGAGATCTGCTGCTCTCACGCAACCAGCCAGCACAGTGGGTTTTCTTTACATAGGAGAGAGAGAGAGAGAGAGAGAGAGAGAGAGAGAGAGGCGGTATTGTGTGAAAGTGAGTGAGAGCTTTTATTAGAAAAAAAATTCAGTTGGACACTTGAGATAAAAGCTTGTTCCGAAGATAAGCTGGGAGGTCATAATTTTTTTTACTAACAGTAAAAATATTTTAAGTTATCATGTAAATCATTAAATTTACCTTGCAAAGCATTGAGAAACCATGTAAGAGGCCCCTATTTTTGGATGAATTATTCTGTGAGGGCACCGGACGGGGAGAACCGTCCGTTTTGTCTCTTTGAACAATAAAAACTCAGTTGCGCTTTTACTGTTTATCCTGCATTTTTCTCATTCACAGAAATAAAATCGGACAATTCTTTTCGTCTGATGTCCGTACAGAATAATCTCTCCTATTTTTGCGAGGTTAGACCAACAAAGCTGAAATACAGATATGATATAATAGTGACTGAACTAAGTTCATGAATAAAAGCCTAATCATTTATTATTTTTATGTTAGTATGTAGGTTAAAGTTAATGTTTTCGTGTCTTGCCTTAAAGCAGTACTGCCACACATGTATATGAATTGAACACACGTGTGTAGGAGAGGTTGGGAAGTAAAAGAAGGGCAAGGGGAAAGAGCTGGGCCAGAGTCAGCCTGGTGATTGGTGAAAGATAAGAAGACTTCTACTAGGTTTCTTTTAGGAGGAGAAGTAAACTCTCTCTTTCACTTTCATCTTTTTCTCGTTTTTTTTTCTTCCAATTCCCTTTCCCTTAGCATGGCCCTGCATCACTGCAGTGGCACTGCCCATGGCATGGTGAACAGATTCATCCAAGCTCAACCTCAGCAAGTCGACTCCCACTCTTCCTCTCCTTCCTCCACAAAATCTTTCTTTTCTCAAATGGTTTCCCTCTCCATTAATCCTTCGTCCTCTCACTCAACTCATCACTTCTTTCCCTTCACGGAAAGCTCTGATACAAGTGAGTTGTTTGGGGAAAAACACACTATAGATGTTGCAGAGGAGGAGATCAGCAGAGATGGAGGAGGTGAGAACACAAATGACAGCAGTGACCAGTCCAAGCTCTGCGCTAGAGGCCATTGGCGGCCAGCAGAGGACTCCAAGCTAAAAGAACTTGTTGCTATTTATGGCCCTCAGAACTGGAATCTCATAGCCGAGAAGCTTGAGGGAAGATCAGGTGCATATTTATTATAATTACTCATAAGAATACATACTTGCTAGCTATTTCTTAATTTTGTCTTGTGACTTGTGCTTTTTCTTTTTCTTTTTTCCAGGAAAAAGTTGTAGGCTTAGATGGTTCAATCAACTGGATCCAAGGATCAATAGAAGTGCTTTCACTGAAGAAGAGGAGGAGAAACTCATGGCTGCTCACAGACTTTATGGTAACAAATGGGCTATGATTGCAAGGCTCTTTCCTGGCAGAACTGATAATGCAGTGAAGAATCACTGGCATGTAATCATGGCAAGGAAGTACAGGGAGCAATCTACTGCTTATAGGAGGAGGAAGCTAAGCCAAGCCATGCACTTGAGGCTTGACGAGAATACTACATCTTCAAGGCCTCACCCCCCCTTCTATTTCTCTTCTTCCATGGTCAGTTCAAGCACTCCCCCAGCTTATCACATACCAACTGCGGGAATGGGCTCCTTAAAGCAAAAACCCTCTGATTTCATCATTTCTGGTATGTTACCTTTCTTCTCTAGTTAGCTAGTTCCTCTTCTTTAATTTCTACCAGTACTGCGTCCATCTGCCATTAATTCAATACTGACATAGTTTTCTTGTTTCTTCTGATTGGTTTTACCCTGGTTGTGAATTTTTTGATATCTCTGACTTGGCATTTGCCACTGACATAAAATTACGTGCATATATTGTTCCATCTGTAACATTGAATATACAGTACATGTGATCCCCCTCTGTTGCTTCTGTGCGGTCTTTTCTTGTTTCTATATATCATGAAACTTTACCCAATAAATATGGACTAGTTTGGTATAGTTTTCTTAACACTTCGCCATTGAGCACCATGTGAAGCTAGCTTAAAATGGCATCGAAAGCTGAAAGGACTGAATCTATTCTTAATAAACATTAGACTTTTGATTCACTTAATAAGTTGAAGTTTTTAACTTTACTTTCCATTAAATTAAATTAATGGAAAGCCATCATACATTTTGGAAGCTTACGCAAACTTTTCCAGGCCACAATGCTGATCAAGAGAGGACGGATATGTTCAGGCAAAACGATCATGAGATTCAGATCTTGCAGGGCTCTTATAGTCATCAAGCTTCAGTTTTGTTTGCAATGCATCAATCACCTAGATATCTTCCTTACAATACCTCAGCAGCTTCATCATCCTCATCAGGAGAAACTCCTGCGCATTCTGCTGAGGTTGAGGTAATTAGAATGGATGGAAGCCATGGAAATATTGAAAGATCTCTCTCTTCTTCCTCACCAACTTTCATAGACTTTCTTGGAGTAGGAGCTACTTGAAGGAAACATTTAAGGCCTCTTAACTGCTTAAGATCCTTCTAGGGAATAAACCTGGAAGGAGAGAGAAAGAGAGAGGGTATTCTTACTGGTTTGTTTTAGGGCAACCAGGAAATAATATCTTTGGGTGTTCTTTCCTATTTTTATGTTTTCGTTCAGGCATTAGCTGTAGGTGGGAAGGCATGAAGCCATGAACAAAGAAGAACGTTAAGATTTTAATGACTTCTAATTTATATGGTTGCCTTGCCCTCATCTTTCTTTGGTGATATTGCTTTGTTATTTAATTATTTATTTTAAATGCTGCTATTTTTTTAATTTGTCTTATTTGCAGATATGACCTTTTTCATTTTCTTGAATTCAAATCGCATGGAATTAATAAAAAAAAAAAATATTTTTTTTCTTAACCCATTCTAGTTAATAAGTGGTCAACAAAAATTACTTTTATATGAAAAAATATTTTTTACTTAATTTTTATATAAAAAATATCCAATTACGCATTTCATAAGGCTCTATCACTTAATGTGAGTTCTTATCACATTCAAACTCAAAAGGCAATATATAATGTAAGCATTGCTAAGATGAAGTTTTTTAAGTGATGTGAGACTAAATAATTTAAAGTTTTTACTTCTTAAGTTTATAGCATACATTATATATTTTTAAATAGATTTTTTAAGTATACTTTTTATGATGTAAATGGCATTTATTTTTAATTAATAATGTTAAATAAATTATATATTTCATTTCTAATTATGTACTATAAAATTATTTATTTATTTATTATTAATTTTATTAATAAATTATCTAATCTTAATAATTTATAAATATAAATTTAATAAATTATTTATAGGTGTAAATTATATTTAAATATATAATATAAATTAATTATAATTTATATTAAATTTATAAATTTATACGTAAGCTAATTTTTTTTTTAAATTTGAATTAAATATAAAGAATAAATATATTTAAATTTAAAATTATATAAAATATTATTAATGTGTGAATCCAATTTATTCTTTAATAAAAAATTTATATTATTACAAGCATGATTATTCTTGCATTTAAATTTTATTTAAATAATTTTCATATTTATTAAATCATCTGATTCGACCTTGTTTGAACCCTTGAACTCTGAACTACTCCTAGTTCTATGTCTGATCATATTTTCACAATCTTGGTATTAAGAGTGATTTTAATTTTAGTATATAGCTATCATGTAATTGTGTCATAGATCTTCCTTTAGTATGATATTATGCCTTTAAAATATCCATAAAAAAATGTCTTAAAAATATCCATGAAGTCTATACATATACTCATCAGAACAATTAGTTGAAATAATAAGTCAAAGTTATTTGACTTTAATACTGTATTTTTTTTTCTTATCCAATTTTGCGTTACTTATTATTTTCATCCTAATTTCTGTCAAATGGTATCAAAACATGCTTATAATTAACAATAATTTTATACAATTATCATTTCTTCATTTTACTATGACTAATTATTAGAATTGGATAATCTAAATGAAGACTTTGCTTCTATATTAATATAATTGGAAAGTTATTGATGAATGTTAATATGAAGGCAAAAGCAATTACCCTCACTTAATAAAAAGTAATTTTACATAAACGATATTGTTTGTGAACAAAAATAATTTTACTCAATATCAAGCTCATTTATTAAAGCTTATCAAGCCCTCTTAGTGAGCCACTCATTAACAAGCCGTTTGTTTGGACTCGCGAGCAACAGACGAATATGCCTTGGCGGCCTTGTTTATGCCTTTCCGCTTATGTTAGTTGGTAATCATTTTTTTTTTCATTTTATAGAGTAATGTAAGGAATTTTTCGAAGCAGATGGTGTTGGTTTTTTTGTTTTTTTTTTTTGTTCCGAACATTAATCGGGAACGAAAAACATGCAACTTCGCTAAAGCTGAAAATGCTCAGGAGCAGGGTGTGGGTTTTTCATTTTTTAACATGTGGGAACTGGATTTTGGAATTAGTAAATATAATTTATTAAATTAGCAAATCTAATAATATTTATTTTTAAAATTCTAATCGAGCTTCTAAGTCAAGCTCTAATCGAGCTTCTTAATAAGCTTGTTCATGAGTTCTAAATGATATTGTTTGTGAACATAAACGAGCCGAACGTTAAGTTGTTCAAGCTTATTTATTTAGCTATCTAAGTATTTATCAAAAGTGTTCAGTTTGTGTGCTAGACATCCGAACAACGCTAACACAAGAAAATCTAACTCTTTCGTCGTTTGTAATACATCTAATTGATTATTCAATCTTATGCTTATATCAATTTATTTAATTGGTCATTATTTGAATTGATTTGATAAACCATAATGTTAATCTTAAAAGAGTTATTTATGCTTTAACCATTGATGGAATAGCATGTCTTAATATAAGAGTCATGTTGCATGACATGTGAAATCATTTAGAGTGTTTGGCCTCACTAAATATATTTTCAATTTGATTCACATAGGAAAATAGTGAAAGGAGGGGATTATAAACTTGAACTTAATAATCATCAATTTTCATCGTGCAAATTTTCCTTTCATTTATTTTTCTTGTTTTTAATTCTACTTTCATAATCTATGATGTTGCTTTCCTTTCAATGAAATTAAAGTTATTAATATTAGCAATTAGTAGTTTAGGGTCGTGTTCTATCTTTGTAGGAGTAATATTTATGTTATGTATTTTGGTGCATGAACGTGCATGTTAAACTCTACAATCCCTTCAAGCCCTTTGAAATGAATTTTAATCCCTACGCATTAAAGAATTAAAAGTAAAGGACTATTTAAAAAGAGTTTTATCATCATTAAACAATTGGGGATGAGTGAAGCGATTTTCAAAGTCATCTATACATTAGAAAAAATTATATGCTCATTAGATGAAAAATTAGATTATATTGTAGTGGCTATTGAAAGTCAAAGGACTTGGAGTCATATCAATTGATGAGCTTATGAGTTCATTACAAGCTTATGAACAATGGCTTGCAAAAAACAAGAACCTTTGAAAAAAAAAGTTATAAATGAAGGTCTTCTTGAATGAGGTCGAATTAGATTTAAAAAAATAAATGGGAAGAAAGCTAAAGTGATCATGATTGAGGAGAGTCCAGAACAAGATCAAGGACAAGGGCACTACAACAATGATGAATGAAACAAATGTCTTAGAGGAGGAGATTGATAAAGTGCCCATTAGTCACATGTCTCTAATTACTATAGGTATTGATTGTCAATTAGTCATTAGTTTGTCACCAAATGCTTACCATCATTTGATACTCTCATTATCTTTCACAGCCCTCCAATTTGTATTTTTACATCAGTCTCCCACACATTTTGAACACCAATCTTTTATTAGCCACCCATAAACTACTAGTTCCCTATTATTTGTTGAATATATGCCCAATATTTATGAGTCGCACAACATTAGGAGATGCTTATCATTAATCTATGCCTAGCGCTAATGGATTACTTGATACTCTCTATCGTCCTATATACACTAACATTTTATATTCATAATTGCTTGATATCAATTATCACCAAACACCAATTGTTGTTGTCATCTAATATCGCTCAATATTGAATTTTTAATGACTACTTATTTTTCATTATGGTCATCAGTCTTATATTGGTTGCCTAAGCACTATTTATTAGATGTCCATCATAACACGGTGCCCATCATCACTCGTCATTCATTAAATATTTCAAGGAGCTTGTCATTTTTTCGACATACATCATCACTCAAGGTATAATGTTCTCCGTCATCACATGATTTCATAAATTTGTTTGATTTGTCCCCTTTATTCTAGAGTATGGACGCTCCTAATTACATGCAATCATACATCATCAACTCTTAAGTCTCCAGGTTTCCCATTATCAATGTATATAAGAAGTATAATCTAATAGCCTTTAGTATCCTTCACAACTTTTCCACAATTTTTTGTTATTATATTAAGTAGTCTCATCACCACCAAAGAGGTGAATCGATCTAACAACTACTAATGGCCTCATCGATCATACGGCATTGCCTCCTTCCTTCTCTAAAAAGAGAACTATTATGACTTCCCTCATCTCCCCTTTCTCTTTCAACATAGCTCTATTTTATATAGCCGACCTCATTGTGCCATAAACTCATAATCATTAGGGGAATTGGTAATAACCAATTTATATGCACTTTATATTAATTCCTTCGAGCTCTTGGAAGGGAAGATCTTCTAACTTAAATTGTTATTAGTGAAATTTATTTCACCCATGCAAGTCAATGTGACTTTATATCTAATGGGATGTCGATCCATTGTCTTAAAATAAATCAAAACATCTCTTTCTCTAATTAATGGCTCAACTTCTAACTTGCAACATAGATTATTGAAAAAAATATTTTAACAGAACCTTCTCATACAAATCTTACATAGGATGGACCACAAGAATCACACATATCTCACTGAATTAAAAAAAAAAATGGTCTGATAAGAAAGGAAAAGACATGACATGATGAAAATTATAGAAGACACGTTTCATCTTAAAAGTTAAAATAATAGAAGACATAAATTTTTTCGGTCTTTCACAATCTTATCACATGTATTTCTATTATTTTTTTATTAGTATGGGAGGTATTTCTTTCATCTAATCATCTTCATAAAACTTCTTATGATGAGATCCTGATGATACAATTTTCTCCTAATTAATAATAGGCAAATGAATTTATTTCGTTGAGTATTCTACTAAAGGAATTTTTTTTTTTGAGTGGGGTAATTGCCCACTCTGTGCTATTCCTAGATCCGTTATTGAGTGGCGGCTTCAATTAAGCAGTTGGCTGCGTGCTCTCCTGTTTAAGTGAATTTAGAAAAAAATACTGATTTCATCTTATGTATCATAAATGTGATTTTATTTTTTTCTATATCATTTATATAAGAGTACACATTTAAGATATCTTTAATCTATTGTTCAGAATGATAGTGAATTAGATGACGATATTTTTAGTAGACTTAATTCAAGTTGGATGGTTGAAGTGGAGGAATACGTCGAGCTTGTTGTGTGATATAAAAGCCCCCTCTGGTGGTGAGATATAAAATGCTTTATGGTGCAGAATGTTGGTCATAAAAAAAAAAAAGCATAACATTAAGTTAAGTATTATATGAGAATGCTCAGATGGATGAATGACTTTAATTTTATAGACATTATA